TATCGTCAAGATCAACCCGACTACGTACACAATTGAACATAGCGTTCTCTCTCAATTTGCTCTTCCTTATATGGCAGTATCCTTGACGTATATCAACAGCTTCGGTCACTAAATATTTTGGAGATTCCGTGTCACGTGTGGATGTGGACGTGTTCTAATGTCCTATAGGCCTATCCAGGTCCATTGGCCTATATCATTATATATAAACATAAATATCTATCTATGTATACATATATATATAAATGAACCCCGTTTCCCGTTGTCACGCCATAACTTGAAAAGGTTCTTATGACAGAAAAAATCCTGAAAATCCTACGGGAACGGGAGAAAACGGGATTGCGTAAACGAAGTCGCGGGCAGAAGCTAGTTAGTTATACAATACAATAATAACACATGCATTTTGGTTAATAACAAAGCTAGAGAATGAGATTAATGTTTCGTCCATGTTAATTAGTTTCGACTAATCAATTTATGTGCGTGCGGTTGGCTGCAATGAGTTATGATTTCTCATTTTGTATGCTCATAGTATTAGTTAATATGCGGAAATCTATTTGTCAACAGTGCATAATTTGTTCATTAAGGAATTCATAAACTTAGCTACTTAGATTAGATGTTCTTCTGTACAATTTTTGTTGAGTAAAACCTTATCTTGTGTTTATTGGAAAAGAATGGAGTTCTCCAAGTAGAAAATTCGATGAGAGAAGTAATACGTGCTTGCTGCACGGCCTTAGTTCGCCGGCGTCTAAGAAAATAGTGCCCCGGAGACCTGTCCGGTTCACTTTTCTTAACTTTCTCGACTCTTCTTTCTATTTTCTAAAAAGTCATTCAACTGACACGGTTTCCTGCCATATATCTTTGTTTTAAAGTTCATTCTGAACACGTTGCACACCGACATTCATGAAATTTTACTGAAGAAAGTATATTTTACTAGCTGACCCGGCAAACCACATAAAATGATTTTCTCGCCTTTTAAATCTTCCCTGGAGTTCCACGAACATTTCAAGACCAAAATTAGCCAAATCGGTTCAGTCGTTTTCGAGTTTTAGTGAGACTAACAAACGGAAATTAATTTTTATTTATATAGATAGATAGATAAAAAAATTAGACCAATGAACTTATAAGCGCCAAATGAAATATAAAAATAAATGTATCTGTTTACTTTCCAAAGTGTATGTAGATTCATATAAAAAGGAACCAGCGAGAAATTCCAAAACTCAGAAAGTCACTCTGTTTCCTAGTAGTTCCTACAGAAATGGCGGAATCATTGTGTTTATTAGTGCTTTGACAGAGTACATTCGGGCGCGACGGGCCCACGACCACAGCAGTCCATTCCCTGTCTAACTGACATTATTTGTAAACCGCATGCAGCTACCGCTCAATCAGAATGCGTATAGAACGACATCTATAGTACGATGTAACTAAGCTCATTTGGAGATACAATTTAATAAACTTTTATATAATGTTCATCAACATTACGACTTGACATTAATTATATGAATAGCTTATCCAATATCTCTCAATTTTCACAAAAAGTATGGTATCTCGACAGCACGAATAGAGCTGAGCTGAAGTTGCGAGTGCAAGTTATAAAAAAGTTTATTGGTTTCAACACAGTGGGCAGAGGTTTTCACAACTGCTGATATTAGCAGAATTTGAAGGGAGTATGTTTTTTAAACGAGCAGACGGATCACCTGATGGTAAGCAATCGGCGTTGCTCATGGACACCTGGAACATCAAATGCGTTACAAGTGCGTTACCGGCCTTTTGAGGATTAGGAGTTTGAGGATCGTTGGGGATTCAGGAATTGAGGAGATTGGGAAAGGGGAGGGTAATTGGGCCTCCAGTAACCTCATTCACATGACGAAACACAACGCAAGCGTTGCTTCACGTCGGTTTTCTGTGACGCCGTGGTATCACTCCGGTCGAGCCGGCCCATTCGTGCCGAAGCATGGCTCTCCCACACTTAAACATGTTTTTTGATTTCATCTCAATTTTACAAGCCTTTTTGATTGAGATGATTTCATATCTGTGCATTACGTATTCAAAGAAAATTCTGAAACCTGAATAACATTAATTTAAAAATAAATGCTCCACCGCGGCTCTAGCATACATTTGCCTTGAAAGCAACATTTTATAAAGTCAAGTAGCTCATTAACTGCCATACATAAAGAAAAACAAGTTAAAACATCAAAGATATGCAGTTTATGAAAGTAAAAGCATTCAATGTTTCTTTGCTGGAAAGGTGACGGGTCGAGGACAATTGAGCATTGGTATGTTCATTAAAATTGAAACACATTCATAACTAACGTCTAACGCCAAACCTTTTTTATTATCTAATATTCGTAAATACTTTGATCCTATTTTGAAGTTAGTGTTTTATTAACTTTTTTAATAACGTTACCCCACTCTAGGATTTTCTCCAGTGTCGTGTGTGCGTTTACAAACATACGTACCTATACAAGTTCACATACACATCACACCCCAGACCCGAAACAAAAATTTGTACACAGAGAGTTGCTTCCTGTGGGAATCGAACCCGCTACACGTTAAGCGGCAGCCGGTTACCCAGCCACCGCGCCAATCCTGCAGTCAAGTCACATTGTTATGTATGTAAATAAATTGCACGAATTCATTGACAACCCAAACTTATAACGAAATTATATAATTTACTTTGAGTATTTAAAAAGAAAATCTTACATCTCAAATGAAGTTCCAACAAAAAAAAATCGTTTTGATAACCTTACTTGCTTGCTTGAATCGCTAAATATCCCTTACGCTTCAGTACGATATTATAATAGTCTTCCGAAATCCAATTCATAGTCCAGTAGTGGAATGTTATGAGCTGTTGATTATGACTATGTACACCACCTAAATAATATCTGTTTGCGCTCCGAGCCGCTCGCGTAACCGACCGTCAATAAAGCATTACGTTCCTTGCTACTTACATTATCTATGCACCCCTAATGATACCGACCCACTCCACTTAATCATACACAAAGGTAAATTACTCAAACTATGCACAAACAGTAATTTGAATACTAGAGCAAACATCGGAAAAGTGAGGTAATTTTCCAAATGATACCGTGATAACCTATAAATAGGGCTTGTATTAGCTAATCATGTAATCTGTTGTCAACAACTTGAGTAGACTGGTCAATTATCTACTTGCTTTGTAGTAAATGAAAGGACATATCTAATCGGCTCTGGTTCAGACCATGGTACGGAGCGAGGGGGACTGGAATGCCGTCTGCTCCTTCTGCGAAGCAGTCATGCTAGCTAAAGAGCAGGCGGAACGAACCTCCTCACGACCAAGACCAAGACACTCCGGGAGTCAGGGATCGCGAGACGATTTCCGGCCACCGTAAGCACGGGCCTGCGGACGGCGAGCATGGGTGACTCGCCACCCGACCAGAACCAGGGCCGAGCGTACGGCGCGTCGCGTTCCACGCGTGAGGAGCCATCAGACCACCACAGACGGGGCCTAACAGGGCTGATGCCGATACGGAGCCGCGGAAGACTTAACGGGTTGCCGGGGCTCCGGTTCGCAGTGCAGGAGTAGGAACGGGGTGGTTTTTAGTCAATAAGAGTCTGACACTTCCTCTCGCCCTGACCCGGGCGGGAGAAGTCATTGGATGATTTTCCCCCTCAAAAAAAAAAAATCCTTGTCATTTTACAAAGAATTTGTAATGACAGAATTTGAGTAACGTTTCAGTATTCCAGCAATACTCCTTTACCTGTCGCCATTTACTCAATTTCTTACTAATGCATATTAGAAATCCTATATTTATGATCCATGATGGTTTGAATAAGTGTTACCGAAAAGCAAGCAGTATAGTACTTAATTTTTTTAAATCAACCTTCGTCTATAGAAAGACCCTTTTGCCTAAAGTAAAAGATTCGAGGGGTGCGTAATGACTACAGAGTCAGTACTTGAGGTGCCTAGATACAATACATGACGGCAGCCGATAACTGCATCGCATGGGCAAACTTTTTTTTTTTAAACGTTGCCCCACATTGGGATTATGTCCTGTGTCGTGGGTGCGTTTAAAAACATACAAGTTCACTTACACATGACATCCAGACCCGGAACAACAATTTGTGAATCACACAAAGTGTTGTTCCGTGCGGGAATCCAACCCGCGACACGTTGCACGGCAGGCGGTTGCCCAGCCACCGCACCAACCGTGCAGTCGGTAACTATACCCGCGTTTATGGGGTATTCTGAAGTTCAATCCCATTGAATCGGTTACGGCGAGTACTGATTGCGTTGAATATAAAGTTGTAGGTATCTGCTATTTCAAAAATATAAACTTTATTAAATAGATCTTAAATTGTTTCACAATACTTAATTTTAACTATAGTACGAAATTGTCTGTTGATATTAAATCAATTCTAGTAACAAAACCTGGAAAATTATGTTACTATGTAAGTTTTTGTATTATTCTAATGTTCTTGATATAAATATACACCCTTAAAATACTGCTACTAAAACGTGCATTGTTCACTGAGCCGTTTGGTATTTCTAAATGGCACATAAATTCTACTACGAAGCCCCGTAGCCCGTAGCCCGTAGCCCGATGCTACAAGCGACGCGACGTAGCCTACGCTACGCTACGTATGCGGAGACGGGAACGTTTGCAATTTATGATTGCACTCAGCCGACCCGCGACCCGTTTGTTACCCACTTAGTAGCACTTACTAAATATTTTATATCTATTCCATTCGTCAAAGATAAAAAGACAAAGATTTTTTTCATCCATCCTTTTTGTTACTTAATATTTTCAGGAACTTCCGAAATATTCTATTAATAGTTACAATTAGGTATTAACAGGTCCAGTAAACAATAACTAGTAATTACGGCGTGGTAAAATGTCGTAAAATGTCCACTAAGCCTTTATGTAACCGGTTACATGTGAGAAACAAGAGTAAACTAGCGGTGCGCGCGAATTCCACGTTCGCGTAGATAGCAGGGGTGCAGAAATAAGTAATACGGTACGTACCATGCGTGAGGATGTTGATGGTCTCGTTGTGGAAGTAGAAGAGGCTGCCGACACAGCCGGCCCAGCTCTGCAGCGGACGGTAGCCGGTCAGCACGTACGGGTTGAACTGCAGGTGCTGCGGCATGTCCCGCCAGTGCAGCAGCTGCACGCTGCCTGACTCCTCCCTCGCGCTGGCGGTGGCCCGGTTTTCCTCCGGCACGCTCTCCCCAGACACTTCAGCCCCACGCTCCTCATTATCACAGATACGCTCTAACGACTTTTTCCTCTTTTTAGGTCCTTTACCATTCACTTCTTGAATTGACATATCGAACATCTTTGTACATGTATCAGGTACACTCTGACCGTCTCTCATCTCCACAGCGTGGCAGCGCGTGTCGCGGGAGGCTGGGAAACGGATCCGTTCCTCACGTTGTGTACCCGCATGGTCCAGCGTCGGCTGAGTGACGGAACGCGGAGTTTTGTACAAATATCACAGTTACAGCATTAGTGTGGAGCGTGGGGTGTTCGCGGACGCTTGCGGTGCTAGTTTTCTGTTATTCTCTGGTGGGAGAGCGGGCCGCGGCGGCGCGGCGACTCGCGGCGGGTCGTAGGCTCGGAGGGCGGGCGCAGCGCGCGCGACTGGCCAGGCGCGCCGCACACCCCGGCTGCTCGTCTCACCCGGCTCCCCGCGCCCCGCACTTTTGCGCACTGCGCAAACCTGATCAGCTGATTCCCGCCAGAAGGTCGGCCCCTTAGCCTGTGCCCGTTCCTTGCACTTTCACTCTTTGTCCGAGTGTAACAGAATTCCCGTTTACACACGAAAGTTTATAAAAAGTTAACATTTATTACACTCGATTTTTTAATATCTTTAATAAAATCAGAAGTCACAATAAAATTTTCTGTCTAAAAATAGATAGTAACAATTGGAGTTCCGAAGTATTTGTAAAAATAATTTTTTGATAGGTTTATAAGACTCTACTTTCAGTATATCACCTAAATTTAATGTCTACTAAAAATTTATTCTCTACGTAGGATTAAATTGGTCTGAAACTGTATAAGTTACATGCAAGAACGTTGAAAAAAAGGCGGACGTAATGTCACTTGGAATTGATTGAAGCCATGTCAAGGGTTACCACGTTACCAGACTTAAGAAAATGACAGATGTCCTTCTGCGTGTAACTCTTTAGTAGCCACACACATTGTCTCAAGAGACTGTGTCCGCCTTTTTGTCAACGTCCTTATTGCTGGTTTTTACCATGGTAAAAACCAGCAATATATAGTCATGACTATAGGTATTTAAAGAGGTTACATTCAACTATTCTATCAGTGACCGTAACACTTAATTCAATCTTGAAAGGTAGTTTTGCATTGTTATGTTATTATAATTTAAGCAAATATAGTATAGATGTACAATTAGAATAATCTTTAAAATAAATTCTAAATAAATACGCAATAACAATGAAACGTTGTTTGTTAATTTATTAACATTTGCACTATTTATTACTACTACTATTTTGTCTTATTAATTGATAACATTTCATATTTTTAACGTACTTATATCGTCGTAAAAAGTAAAACCAGATGTTACCCGTATTTTAAATTTTTTCAAAATAATGCATAAAATCCAATTTAAAGATTGGATCGGCAAAATAAACGTATCGCCTATGCTTTATTGTCGCCTCGCAAAAAAAGCTATGTGTCAGATCAGACTAGAGATGGATGTCAAGAAAATACCCAGTAGGAAGTCAAAGAGTATATGAAGTCAAAGCCTAAGTCCTAAGTAGATCCTATCATTTTGTAGCGCATCGCAATATCTCTGCATTGTTCTTGTTGTGAGATTGTACTTAATACTTTTTTTAAAGACTACCTAACGAATGGAGACTTTTACTTGTTTTACTCCATAATAGATTTTGGGACGAGCACCTAGCTTCTACTGTGGGACGAGTACCTACAGTACCTAGCTTCTACTGTGGGACATATGTACTGACAGAATTTATTTCTTTATTTGTTGACGTTCCACGCTTATGAAACGAAAAGTTCGTTACTTACTTTATGTGGTTGAGATGAAATAACTGCATTGACTTTGGAATTTCCTAGATAAAAATACATGTTTTTAGTTATTTCTATTTATATAAATATTACTTTTAACTAGATAAAAACGTTTGGCCCATCTCTAGTCATGACATCGTCAAAAATTGTCAAAACGCATTCACAAAATAAAAACTTAAATAATATTAAAATTAACTATTACTAAATTAATAATAAAATATATAACTTTAAGATTAAAATTATATAAAAGAAAAAAAAATGTTATTATTTATTCTCAATTAATTTCAATTATTTTCCTATGAGTTTACAAAAATAATATTTTCTTTAACTTCTTCTTCTTAAACAATATTAAAGTTTCGAAACGATTTCTTAATGCCACAGGAACTTACCATATTTAAGTCGACTATCGGAAGTTGTTTTAAAATATTGACAAATAAACGAGTGTAATACTTGTACAACAAAACGTAGTGCCATAGCATTATTAGTACCTATCACGTTTTTTTTTTCATTTTGAGGTTGGAAAATCATCCAATTACTTTTCCCTTGGGTTAGGCGATAGGGAGTGTCAGACTCTTACTGACTAAAAACTGCCCATTCCTACTCCTGCTCTTCGAGCCGGAGCCCCGGCAACCAGTTAGGCCTTCTGCAGCTCCGTATCGAGCATCAGCCCTACTGAGCCCCATCTTAGTATCACGGTTAGTGTATGGATACAGCCTTAGGGTAGGCTATGTGGAAAGCTGGAAGATAACTTGTGTACCTACCATGAAATGCGTAAGAGTAACGCCAGCGTTTCGCTGCGTGAGGCCATGCCACAAGAAAACAAATATAATATTTGTGTTTCTGTTTTCTACTATTCAAAAATAAATTAATGGAATGTTGTTATATAGCGCATAGAAATCTTATAATGTAAAAATAAATCGTATAATAATAAATGTGTTGGTAAGCCCATAACTCAACAACGACTGCACCAATTTGGCAAAAAAAAATATTTCGTTGTAGTTCAAGGATGGTTTTTACGGCGAGAAAAATTCAAATATATCTTTTTTTTTTGACAAGACATAGCTGTCGGGTCAGCCAATCAACCAAAGTGAGATTTCGAAAGCAATGATTGCACGATATTCCTGGAATCACGAATATTGTTGTTTATTTACTAACATTTTTGCAATATATAAAAAACGAATTATAATTTTATATTACCAAAGAAACATGAAACGCACAAGTTTAGTACAAGACTAATAATAATATTTTCGTAACATTTTGTAAATACGAGTAAATTATTCTGGCACTGGTTTGCATTCTATAGCTACTTATTAGTATTTCAAACTAAGTGTATGTCAAGGGACAAACGACAAATTCTCTCGTCAAAGGAGTCTAAAGAACCTTATAAAGTACTTACAAGTCAAAAAATATCACATTGGTTCGAACTTGCCGTTCGAAACTGCCCTCTCATGGAATCGAGAAGGAATGAAACATAATTACATAGACCACTCGACCCACAATGCAGTTAGTACTATTTAAATAGGTATTTCAATTAAGAAGATACCTTTCAGAAACATGGTGTCACTTTAGTGAAATAGCGTTGAATAGATACTTTCAGTAAAAAGACTAGCACACAAGAATACTTAATATCCCTAAGAATTTCATTAAATTCTTGATTTCATTATTTGCATGCGACATAAAAACACTGACATAATATTTTCAGTTTATTTGATATTGACAATATAATGAATTTACATGACATTTACAATTTCATCTAAAATTACGATGGTAAAGATAAATCTCCATTATTCCATATTACATAATTATTCCATAGTGGTGAGGTCACAGTGGATTTTCTGGTTTTTATTATTTTTTCACAGAAATTACAAAACAAAAAAAATATATTTGAAATCAACATCAAAAAATACACAAACGGTTTTTTTGTTTCATGCACTTATAAAATTTGAAATGTTGTCAATTGGGCCATTTTTTATCACGACATTTGCAACTTAAAAAATAGTTTTTCTAAATTATTTCCTTTTGTTTCTATTAGTATGCAATAATTCTTCTAAGTATATATTTATTATTTGTTATATAGTATCTAACATAACATTATATAACTTGTATTACAAAATATTATGATGCATGCAGTGTAATAAAAGGCCATGTCACGCAACATGTCCTTCTTGTCAATGTGTGTGTATTCTGCGTGTAAGTCTATAGTAGCCAGATGCCATAGTCGTTGTCTAAAGAGACTATGTCCGCCTTTTTCCACGTCCTTGGTTACATAGATGTTTATTCTAAGGAAACGATGTTTTAACACTCTGCATTATCGACTAGCGACATCTGTGTGTAAAATGTGAAAACACTAAGTTAGCTGTTAGAATTTTACTCTAGCCAGTAAAAGATGGGGAACATTATTTCCAATTCCAAGTACCTAAACGTTTTTATACAGGGAATAATTTTTATTCTCTTATTTTATGAATTACTATAATTAATTGATATAGATGAATGGTAAATTAAATAGGTAGTTACGTGCACCTCTGCCTACCCTCCAGGGTAGTAATGCATGGTGTTATATGCAGTACCTGGCCTGATAAAAGGATTAGAATGTGCATGCATGGCATGGCAACTATTTCTATGCTAAGTCTTTATTTGAATAAAATAGGAACTAGATGGTTTCATTCAGAAAAAAACACTACAGAGAATTTATAAAGAACTCACGGTGACGTGACCAGCTACATTCATATCTAAGGAGTTGATATTAAAATGTATGGTACAATTTGGGGACGGTTTTGTTACGCCGCCAAATGGGGAGTGTGGCTACGAATTGTCCTTCTACGTAGCTATTGACTACTATGGCGACCTGGTGATGTCGCCAATAAAATGTATAGGAGTAGACTGCACCTCGCTCACTGTGGCGATAGTCAGACACCATTTCAGAAAATTAACATATTTTATAATCCCTACAAAATTTTCATAAGCTGATATCATCTATAAATGATTGTATTGTATTTGAAACTTAAACCCAATTATCATTTTATTAGGTATGACCAATTTCTACAGCTTTTTTTCTTGTTTTCTTTCTATTTTCACAAAAGATAACAAAACGATAAACACTCCATTAAATTGGAAGAATATTACTTTAAAACAAAAAGATGACAAAGGTAACGAAAATAAATCTAAAAATTATCAATCTTATCTTCGAAATTAATTTTTAATTTTTTTTTTCAAGATATCAAACATATTTTAACTACACAAATATTTACTTAACTATAACTAAACTAGTGAATAAAAAGAAACTAAAATAAACAGCAAAAGTATACCCGTAAATTAAAGTGTCAAAGTACTCGTCTCATCACTATCACCGGAGAACGTTCCCAGGAGACTGGCAGGATTTAAATTCGGTACGATATATTATCTACATAATAAATACTAAAATAATAGTAAGAATTTCAAATTAAATTGAATGTTTATTATTGCAAGTGGTATCATTATGAACGCATCTTTTCGTTTATTAGGTTGGTAGCACTAATTTGGAATTAGTTACAGTAAATTTCTCTAGATGGCAGTAAAATCATGACAACTT